TGAGTGTGAAAAGCAACAAAGAAATTATTAATCTGTTTAAATCACCACTGATCACTGGCATCATGAGAGCTAATAGACTGAAATGGTTGGGGCATAATTGAAAAAATGTCAGATGACAGAGAAGTGAAAACTGTTCACACAAGGGAGATAATTGGTCGTAGACCACGAGGCAGACAAAGAAGACGATGGAGAGATAATATCCAGTTGGTGTCACCAACTGGAAAGGGAATGCTCACCAGAGAAATGAATGGGGGCGGCTGATATCTGAGGCATTAAACCTCAAGGGCTCGGAATGCTGAAGAAGAAAAAGAAATAGGGAGCCGTCGTGGTGAAGCGGCTAGACGCTCGTCTGCGGTCGTGGGTTCGTTTTCTGATGTTACCGGATTTTTTTTAAATGACCTTAGTTCCCAGGTCGACCCTGCCTCCAAAGGTAACCAGGTGGAGTCCCTGGAAGTAAAGGCGACCGTCGTGGTAATGACTACATCACCCACAAAGTGCAGATTGGTCTATCAAATATAGATCTAGCCCTATATGCCCATAGGCCTAAAGGCGTTGAAAGGCTCCTTATTTTAGTTGACTTAACTTTGCTTAACGTTCTTTTATATTTTCTGTCATTAGAAACATCACTGAACTCTCTCAGAAAGATCTGTTAGTGTGAATAAAGTTCTCAATAATATACGGTAAAAAAATACGGTTACCTCCAAACATTACATCTTTCTATCAGTTCTTATCAATGCGAGTCCGATCTGGTGAAAGTATTTCTCAAGCTTTTTCCTCCGATAAACAGTGGGTGAGTGATTGTGAGTGAGTGAGTGAGTGAGTGAGTGAGTGAGTGAGTGAGAGAGTGAGTGAGTGAGTGAGTGAGTGAGTGAGTGAGTGAGTGAGTGAGTGAGTGAGTGAGTGAGTGAGTGATCGAGTGAGTGAGTGATTGAGTGAGTGAGTGATTGAGTGAGTGAGTGAGTGAGTGATTGTGAGTGAGTGAGTGAGTGAGTGAGTGATGATTGATTGAGTGAGTGATTGAGTGAGTGATTGGGTGAGTGAGGAAGTAAGTGAGTGGTTGAGTGACTTTCAACCCCACCAGGACCGCACAAGGAACGATAAACGCCCGGTGACACAAAGAGCTACAATGTGGGTGAGAATAACCTGGGCCCAAGTCCCATAAACCCCGTTAAACCCGTAGGTGATATTTAAGGCCCCCCAACAACAGCCAGCGGCGTCCGTGGCTAAGGCGTTGCGAGTCCGACTCGTAAGCCAGCATACCGCGATCGAAACCCTCTGCAGGCCGCGTGGATTTTTGTCGTGGTATGGGACGTCGCAGGTCGACCCAGCCTAAAATGGGTACCAGGATGGGCTGTCCTGGGAAAGTAAAGACAGTCGGCGTAATGCTGACCACATTACCCACCGAGTGCTGATGGTCTGTAAAAATATGGGACGCTCTGCCCATATGCCCGATGCGCCGAAAGGCGTGAAAAGGGAACTTTACTTTTTTTTTTTTTTAACAACAGCCAGGGTCGCGTTTTGAAGTAACACAAAACTGCACCGCGTTTTGCGGTTGATTGTTAAAGAAGAAACGGTGGGAATCGTTAATTAATCAGATAAATGAGACCACATTCCTATTTCATTTAGGCAGTTTTTAGGTAATTAATGTGGTTGGTTCCTCTGGTTTCACCATTTTGGCTGCTACCGTCTAATTTGACCAACCAGGTGACTTCAAGAGTTGCGCCCTTAATGGCAGTTCAACAGGCTAAAAACATGGAGTCCCGTTCAACCTCAGGGCAAAAATAATCCACAACAGACCACTTTATGATACTAAAAGGGAGATAACGATGGACATAGATCACCGTTGTAGACAGGAGAGACTGTCTCCCTTGACAAACACCTTAATTATTCATAGACAGATCCAAATAGAAGACTGGCATGTGTCCGTTGTTTTGTTTCCAAGACGTCTTTCAAGTTCCAAGGCAGTTGCACATTTCTTTTGAAATATATATTGTTCACATGTTGAAGCGTTCGAATCCTAAGTTACGGTTACCCATCTTTCCACGCACAATGTAGTAAATTTACTTGGTGCAGTCTTTGCCGATCCCATTTATGCGGATTTAAACCCTTGACATCTGGGTTGGCAGGAAAGCGTGCTAGCGACTACACTATCGCTTCGCTCGTGCAGCTACCATCATCAGTCAGCAGATCCTTTATGAGAATGTCACATTCGTCACAGCACGCTTTGCTGTTCTAGTCACAGCACGACTGGATGTTCTAGTCACAGCACGCCTGGATGTTCTAGTCACAACACGCCTGGATGTTCTAGTCACTGCACGCCTGAATTTTTTAGTCACAGCACGCCTGGATGTTCTAGTCACAGCACGCCTAGATGTTCTAGTCACAGCACGCCTGGATGTTCTAGACACAGCACGCCTGGATGTTCTAGTCACAGCAGGCCTGGATGTTCTGGTCACAGCAGGCCTGGATGTTCTGGTCACAGCACTCCTGGATGTTCTAGTCACTGCACGCCTGGATGTTCTGGTCACAGCAGGCCTGGATGATCTAGTCACAGCACGCCTGGATGTTCTGGTCACAGCAGGCCTGGATGTTCTGGTCACAGCAGGCCTGGATGTTCTAGTCACAGCAAGCCTGAATGTTCTAGTCGCAGCACGCCTGGATGTTCTAGTCACAGCACGCCTGGATGTTCTAGTCACAGCACGCCTGGATGTTCTAGTCACAGCACGCCTGAATGTTCTAGTCACTGCACGCCTGAATGTTCTGGTCACAGCAGGCCTGGATGTTCTAGTCACAGCACGCCTGAATTTTCTAGTCACACACACGCCTGAATATTCTAGTCACAGCACGCCTGGATGTTCTGGTCACAGCCCGCCTGGATGTTCTAGTCACAGCACGCCTGGATGTTCTGATCATGTCTGAATGTTCTGGTCACAGCATGCCTAGATGTTCTAGTCACAGCACGTCTGGACGTTCTGGTCACAGCATGCCTGAATGTTCTAGTCACAGCACGTCTGGATTTTCTAGTCACAGCACGCCTGAATGTTCTAGTCACTGCACGCCTGAATGTTCTGGTCACAGCAGGCCTGGATGTTCTAGTCACAGCACGCCTAAATTTTCTAGTCACACACACGCCTGAATATTCTAGTCACAGCACGCCTGGATGTTCTGGTCACAGCCCGCCTGGATGTTCTAGTCACAGCACGCCTGGATGTTCTGATCATGTCTGAATGTTCTGGTCACAGCATGCCTAGATGTTCTAGTCACAGCACGTCTGGACGTTCTGGTCACAGCATGCCTGAATGTTCTAGTCACAGCACGTCTTGATTTTCTAGTCACAGCACGTCTGGATGTTCTAGTCACAGCACGCCTGAATGTTCTAGTAAAGCACGCCTGAATATTCTAGTCACAGCATGCCTGGATGTTCTGATCATGTCTGAATGTTCTGGTCACAGCACGCCTGGATGTTCTAGTCACAGCACGCCTTTATGTTGTAGTCACAGCACGCCTGAATGTTCTAGTCACAGCACGTCTGGACGTTCTGGTCACAGCACGCCTGGATGTTCTAGTCACAGCACGCCTGGATATTGTAGTCACAGCACGCCTGAGTGTTCTGGTCACAGCACGCGTGAATGTTCTAGTCACAGCACGTCTGGACGTTCTGATCATATCTGAATGTTCTGGTCTCAGCATGCGTAGATGTTCTGGTCACATCATGCCTAGATGTTCTGGTCACAGCATGCCTGGATGTTCTGGTCTCAGTATGCCTAAACGTTCTGGTCACAGCATGCCTGAATGTTCTGGTCACAGCATGCCTGAACGTTCTGGTCACGGCATGCCTGAATGTTCTGGTCACAGCATGCCTGGACGTTCTGGTCACAGCATGCCTGGACGTTCTGGTCACAGCATACCTGGATGTTCTGGTCACAGTATGCCTGAACGTTCTGGTCACAGCATGCCTGAATGTTCTGGTCACAGCATGCCTGAACGTTCTGGTCACAGCATGCCTGAATGTTCTGGTCACAGCATGCCTGGATGTTCTTGTCACAGCATGCCTGGAATCTTTTGATCATGTCACCCCTGGATGTTCTGGTCACGGCATGCCTAGATGTTCTGGTTACAGAACGCCTTGATATCCTCATCTCGGCACGCCTAGAAGTTCTCGTCACGGCACACCTGGTGGTTCTCGTCACGGCACACCTGGTGGTTCTCGCCACAGCACACCTGGTGGTTCTCGTCACGGCATACTGGAAGTTATTGTCACGACACACCTGGAAATTCTCGTCACGGCACGCCTGGAAGTTCTTGTCACGACACACCTGGAAGTTATTGTCACGACACACCTGGAAGTTCTTGTTACGACACACCTGGAAGTTCTTGTCACGACACACCTGGAAGTTCTTGTCACGACACACCTGGAAGTTCTCGTCACGGCACACCTGGTGGTTCTCGTCAAGACACACCTGGTGGTTCTCGTCACGGCACACCTGGAAGTTCTTGTCACGACATACCTGGAAGTTATTATCACGACACACCTGGAAGTTCTTGTCACGACACATCTGAAAGTTCTTGTCACGACACATCTGGAAGTTCTTGTCACGACACACCTGGAAGTTTTTGTCACGACACACCTGGAAGTTTTCGTCACGGCACACCTGGTGGTTCTCATCACGGCACGTCTGGATGTCTCTCCTTCCCCTGTCTATTCTCCAGCTCTGAGTGCGTTCATATCCAATGTATCCTAAATGTCATGTATCCACATTCGCGGATGTCGGCCCCTACCTGGATTTCTGGAAGCTACACTCTTCATTTAAATAAACCAGATACTGGGGTCCCTCCAGGTATCCAACTTTCAGAAATGGAACTGGATATCATCTGTGAGATATCATCTTGAGAAGATGTTAGGAAGGAAGCAATGGAGGAAACAAAATCTGGAGGTCCATATGCAGGTCCAGATGTATGTCCAGGTGTAGGTCCATATGCAGGTCCAGATGTACGTCCAGATGTAGGTCCATATGCAGGTCCAGATGTACGTCCAGATGTACGTCCAGATGCAGGTCCAGATGTACGTCCAGATGTACGTCCAGATGTAGGTCCAGATGCAGGCCCAGATGTACGTCCAGATGTAGGTCCAGATGTAGGTAAAGATGCAGGTCCAGATGTAGGCCCAGATGTAGGTCCAGATGCAGGTCCAGATGTAGGTCCAGATGTAGGTCCAGATGTAGGTCCAGATGTAGGTCCAGATGCAGGTCCAGATGCAGGTCCAGATGTAGGCCCAGATGTAGGTCCAGTTGTAGGTCCAGATGCAGGTCCAGATGCAGGCCCAGATGTACGTCCAGATGTAGGTCCAGATGTAGGTCTAGATGCAGGTCCAGATGTAGGTCCAGATGTTGGTCCAGATGCAGGTCCAGATGTAGGTCCAGATGCAGGTCCAGATGTAGGTCCAGATGTAGGTCCAGATGTAGGTCCAGATGCAGGTCCAGATGCAGGTCCAGATGTAGGTCCAGATGTAGGTGCAGATGTAGGTCCAGATGTACGTCCAGATTTACGTCCAGATTTACGTCCAGATTTACGTCCAGATTTACGTCCAGATGTAGGTCCAGATGCAGGTCCAGATGAAGGTCCAGATGTAGGTCCATATGCAGGTCCAGATGTACGTCCAGATGTAGGTCCAGATGTACGTCCAGATGTAGGTCCATATGCAGGTCCAGATGTACGTCCAGATGTAGGTTCAGATGTACGTCCAGATGTAGGTCCAGATGTACGTCCAGATGTAGGTCCAGATGTACGTCCATATGCAGGTCCAGATGTACGTCCAGATGTAGGTCCAGATGTACGTCCAGATGCAGGTCCATATGCAGGTCCAGATGTACGTCCAGATGTAGGTCCATATGCAGGTCCAGATGTACGTCCAGATGTAGGTCTATATGCAGGTCCAGATGTACGTCCAGATGTAGGTCCGTATGCAGGTTCAGATGTACGTCCAGATGTAGGTCCATATGCAGGTCCAGATGTACGTCCATATGCAGGTCCAGATGTACGTCCAGATGTAGGTCCATATGCAGGTCCAGATGTAGGTCCATATGCAGGTCCAGATGTACGTCCAGATGTAGGTCCATATGCAGGTCCAGATGTAAGTCCATATGCAGGTCCAGATGTACGTCCAGATGTAGGTCCAGATGTAGGTCCAGACGGTATTGTATCAGATATTATTATGGCCAATGTAATCACATCAACGGAATTGTTTCACAGATTATTCGATAAAGTCTTGGAAAGCAAAGAAACAAACACCAGCAGACTGGAAAGAAGGATATCCTGTCAAAGTACACAAAATAAAAACAGGAGTATGACAACTATAAAGAAATTATGTTGCTCTCAGTTCCTGTACATTATTGAGAAGGATATTGCCTCTCTGTGTTGTTATTAGTATACTAGCTATTCTATTTTACTGTGCCTGTCTACATATTTTATTGATTTTATATTTTGAATTATCTCTTAATGTGGTTTCATCATGTTCAAGCAATGAGGCTGAAACAATGGCCTTATTAAAGGTTTCCAACAAATATAGTAAGTAAGTAGTAAGTAAATTTGACCCCACCAGGACACACACAGAGCGACAAACACCCGGTGACTCCATGTGCTATCTTGGCGATAAGGATCACCCGTGGAGGGGGTCCTAGAATCCGTGTTCAGACATCATCAATACTGCGGCCCCTGGCAAAGCCCAGGGTAGGATTCAAAATAACGAAGGGGCGACCTTGGTTATATAATTCCAACAAATAGGTTTATGAGTATTTTATGTAACATAACGCAGCCATCTAATCATATCTCTTCTCTAAATGGTTGCTGTTTCTACTATTTATCACGTTATAATACTGTATTCGTATTGCTAGGTAATACAAAATAAAATCGATAGTGGGGAAGCAGAAAATGTCACATATTTTAAAATATGTTTGCTCAGTAGTGGGAAAAAAAACTGCACGAAAGAAGTGAGAAAAAAACTTGCTTTAGCAATGCTTGGAATAAACAGCATCAAAAAAGCACGGCACAGCACCTGCAAACGAGTTAAATTAATTATTTTGGTACATGTATCTTACCCATGACACCTTAAACATAGATTCATGGAAATGTTTTTCTCCCTCAGTGAATGAAGAAACAAAGAGAGCTTCTGAACTGAAATGCTACAGAAAATATCTAAGAATATACGGACCAAGAAAATCAAATACATTGGCATCCTACTTGATGTGAAGATCGAGAAGAACTGGCTCATAAACACCATTCTGTCCGGAAAGCCGAGCGATTCTGGCCATGTTAAACGTCATGATGGTCTAAAGTAAAGGGTAAGGAGGGATACAGTTACCAGACAACGAGGTACAGGCCGACCTTCGCAAAAATGGATGCCAGGACATGGAAGATGCATCGACAGATAAGACTAGAGACCTGGCTGGAGAAAGTGGATGCCAGGACATGGAAGATGCATTGTCAGAGAAGACTAGAGACCTGGCTGGAGAAAGAAAGACCTTCAGGCTTACCGTGAGAAGAGCGATGTTCTGTAAACAGTATTCTTATTGGGGATATATGTACTAGACACAGCGTATGTGTGTATGTGTGTATGTGAGAAAGAGAGAGAGAGATAGAGAGAGAGAGAGAGAGAGAGAGAGAGAGAGAGAGAGAGAGTTTGACTTACGCCTGGTAAGGATGAAATTATAGAACGTATGGAACTTCTCCAATGATCATATACGATTCTATCTCACTTCCAAAGCTGGGGGTGTATGTGAATTAGTGTCTTCTTTTTTTCTTCACTTTCACCAGCTATAAACTCCGGCGGAAAGTTTTGGATGTTCGTCGACGTCTGGTCTTTAATCTGGTTCCAAAATCTGAGTGTTGCGTGCACATCCATTTTACAGATCGGACTTAATCATATGCAGACTGTCACTTGTTTCCTCCCAGGCAGATGCACTCAGAAATTGAAGGAAGTCCCCAATTAGACTACTTTAACGATATGCTGATTGGTCAGGCAGTGGGTCTATTCTGGTAACCTCACAATTGGGCCCCAGAACCAATCAGGATTTATGTAATTGATAGACCTGACTAATGAAGGAACCCACTTCAGAGGTATGTATATGTAGTTGAAGTCGGCCGATTGGGCTTTCACTGGTCATTATATGTTTCAGTTCTTATGTATGTGTACGGCTCCTCAAATGTCTAGTTACTTACCATACTTCTAAAAGTACCGATCAACACTTGCAGATGAGTTGGAAAAAGCTGGGAGTAATCTTGCACAACCTCATCCGTCACACAGCTACAAAGAAATTAAAACAGCGCTAAGTCAGTCTGCCAAGCAGGAGGAGAGAGGGCAGAATAGAGATTACAGAGAGTGACAGCATAAATAAACCGGAAGAAAACAAACATCAATTCTTAGACTTCGGACAGGACACTGTGGTCTTTAAACACACCTGCACAGGATAGGCATACAAGAATCTGCTGCCTGTAATTGTGGAACAGAAAGACAGACCCCTGTGCACATAATGCAATACTGCCGTAACTACTCCCAGCAAAGACTGGATCTGGCCCAAGAGAGCCACGTGACATTGCAAGAGAAGCTATGGGGGACTAAAAACGCACAATCCTATTTGTGACTCAATGTTTAGCATGACTGATGTCGAACGCAGAAGAAGAAGAATTACTCACGTTACTTCATTGGCCTCGTGGCTTTCCTAAAATATTAACCTTTGTGTGTTTTCACTTCGGCTATAAAATGGCTGCCTTGGATTTCATGTTTACTTCCTTGTTTATTCACCTATGTTTTCACATTGTCTCCCGGTGCTACTTTATTTGTTGTCTTCCGGTGCTAGTTTATTTGTGTACACCCTCGCTAAATATCCTTGTTATCCCTAGGCGCTGGTACCTGATCAGGAGGTCCATTGAGCGCCCCCTTTCCTTCTTCCCACACCCTGACACCACTTCTGATAATTTTGGATAGGATCGAAGTGGCTCCGCTGAACCGTGCATATAATGTTTTAAAATATATTTGTTTATACATTTCATATTATTTCAAATATATTACTATATTTACATACTATTCAGCACGATAATAATAATAATAGTCACGTGAGACAAGTTTGAGACAGATGTGAGATTGATGTGAGATAGGTGTGAGATAGATGTGAGATAGATGTGGGATAGATGTGAAATTGATGTGAGATAGGTGTAAAATTGATATGAGATCGATGTGAGACAGATGTTAGATAGATGTGGGATAAATGTGACATAGACGTGACATAGATGTGGCATAGATGTGAGATAGACGTGACATAGATGTGGCATAGATGTGAGATAGACGTGACATAGATGTGAGATAGATGTGAGATAGACGTGACATAGATGTGAGATAGATGTGACATAGATGTGGCATAGATGTGAGATAGACGTGACATAGATGTGAGATAGACGTGACATAGATGTGGCATAGATGTGAGATAGACGTGACATAGATGTGAGATAGACGTGACATAGATGTGAGATAGACGTGACATAGATGTGAGATAGACGTGACATAGATGTGAGATAGACGTGACATAGATGTGAGATAGACGTGACATAGATGTGGCATAGATGTGAGATAGACGTGACATAGATGTGAGATAGACGTGACATAGATGTGAGATAGACGTGACATAGATGTGGCATAGATGTGAGATAGACGTGACATAGATGTGAGATAGACGTGACATAGATGTGGCATAGATGTGAGATAGACGTGACATAGATGTGGCATAGATGTGAGATAGACGTGACATAGATGTGAGATAGATGTTAGATAGATGTGGGATAGATGTGACATAGACGTGACATAGATGTGGCATAGATGTGGCATAGATGTGAGATAGACGTGACATAGATGTGGCATAGATGTGAGATAGACGTGACATAGATGTGGCATAGATGTGAGATAGACGTGACATAGATGTGGCATAGATGTGACATAGATGTGAGATAGATGTGGGTTAGATGTGAGATAGACGTGACATAGATGTGAGATAGATGTTAGATAGATGTGGGATAGATGTGAGATAGACGTGACATAGATGTGAGATAGATGTTAGATAGATGTGGGATAGATGTGGGATAGATGTGACATAGATGTGGCATAGATGTGGCATAGATGTGAGATAGACGTGACATAGATGTGGCATAGATGTGGCATAGATGTGAGATAGACGTGACATAGATGTGGCATAGATGTGAGATAGACGTGACATAGATGTGGCATAGATGTGAGATAGACGTGACATAGATGTGAGATAGATGTTAGATAGATGTGGGATAGATGTGAGATAGACGTGACATAGATGTGAGATAGATGTTAGATAGATGTGGGATAGATGTGACATAGACGTGACATAGATGTGGCATAGATGTGGCATAGATGTGAGATAGACGTGACATAGATGTGGCATAGATGTGGCATAGATGTGAGATAGACGTGACATAGATGTGGCATAGATGTGAGATAGACGTGACATAGATGTGGCATAGATGTGAGATAGACGTGACATAGATGTGAGATAGATGTTAGATAGATGTGGGATAGATGTGAGATAGACGTGACATAGATGTGAGATAGATGTTAGATAGATGTGGGATAGATGTGACATAGACGTGACATAGATGTGGCATAGATGTGGCATAGATGTGAGATAGACGTGACATAGATGTGGCATAGATGTGGCATAGATGTGAGATAGACGTGACATAGATGTGGCATAGATGTGAGATAGACGTGACATAGATGTGGCATAGATGTTGAGATAGACGTGACATAGATGTGAGATAGATGTTAGATAGATGTGGGATAGATGTGACATAGACGTGACATAGATGTGGCAATAGATGTGCATAGATGTGAGATAGACGTGACATAGATGTGGCATAGATGTGGCATAGATGTGAGATAGACGTGACATAGATGTGGCATAGATGTGAGATAGACGTGACATAGATGTGGCATAGATGTGAGATAGACGTGACATAGATGTGAGATAGATGTTAGATAGATGTGGGATAGATGTGACATAGACGTGACATAGATGTGGCATAGATGTGGCATAGATGTGAGATAGACGTGACATAGATGTGGCATAGATGTGGCATAGATGTGAGATAGACGTGACATAGATGTGGCATAGATGTGAGATAGACGTGACATAGATGTGAGATAGATGTTAGATAGATGTGGGATAGATGTGACATAGACGTGACATAGATGTGGCATAGATGTGGCATAGATGTGAGATAGACGTGACATAGATGTGGCATAGATGTGACATTGATGTGAGACAGATGTTAGATAGATGTGGCATAGATGTGGGATAGATGTGACATAGACGTGACATAGATGTGGCATAGATGTGGCATAGATGTGGC